GTTGTCACCGTCGTTCTGGATGGGGTTGTGCACAGCTATTATCTCGTACGGCTCCGTCATGCTCCGGACCACGAGCTCTTGCGCCAACTCTTCCAGCAAGTTGATAGGCGCGTTTGTCGAGACTGTCGTAGCAGTAAATGGTTTTTTGAAGCTGGTTCACAGCGAGGCATGTCCAATGACTGGCATTGACGTTCAGCGGCATGAACACCCATTCCATGTTCGTAGCTGCTACAAGACTTAACGTCAGTGGTGGGATTCGATGGCCCTTATCTTTTGCCGGTGTTTTAAGCTGCGGTAGGAAAATTGTAGTGCTGGCACCGTACTTGGCCGACAGCGTCGCCGAGAAGGCTTGAATTAAATTGTCGTTGAACCAGCAGCCATCTCGAGCACAGTACAAATGCGTCCAGTCCAAGTGAAAGCCCTGGTCGAATCCCGGAAGGCGCTGACCAGGCCATGTTTCAATCATTCGCTTAGCCAACAAAGCGGCTTGGTCATTGTCAAAGAGTATGTCCACCTTACCCATCAGCCATGAGTAGCATTTTAAGCCGTTCGCGCATGCTGCAGAGAAGCTCCACAAAAATTGCATCGCCATCAGCTGGCGTTGTGTAAACACACCCACACCATCTATGTCTGCTACCCAGCATTCTACGCTTGCGTCCATCGGCGTACTGAGATCCATAACTTCACCGTAGGGTGTCCTGCGTTCAATATCTGCTAGCGCTTTCTGTACCATAGCCTCGGGAAGACGGTACGGCACGCTATCTTCAGGAGGGGTTCGCGAAGTACTCCCACAGAGCGGTTTGACCATCTCGGCAAGCTAGAGTCTTGAATTCTTCTGCATTATTCTTTAGGTCCTCCTCCGTCCTTGCGTATACCATGTTCGCCACACAGAAATCCAACTGCTGCAATAAAGCGCTCGGGTACGTTCCGTACTTTTTGTCAAGTCGAATAGCGCCACGTAGCACTTGATCACGTGAAAATGGCACAACAAAATTCGCGCCGTAGGAAACATCTCTTTCAGAACGGCAATCTCATTCAGGTCCTTGTCGACCATGATTACTAGAGTCTCGTCCCAATCGTTCACAGCTTGGAAATGTTCGATCAGCTTGAGCATATGCCAGTCACCATTGCGCTCGATCACAGAGTGCTGAACAGCTTGTCCGTTTCCAAACTGGTCCATGACCATAAATGTACACAGCTGGTAGTTGTATCTACATAAAATACACATTTCACAGTTAATACATGGCCAGAATAGGGTAACATGTATCCACCATGCATTCAAACATGATAAATACCTGGTCCAAACATGGTCAAACATGGTTGGGTGTCGTACCGGTTGGTCTTGTGCGTACAGTCAGCTAGAAGCAGCTCTGGAAAGCGTTTGTACAACTTGCGCATGTGCTGCGAGCAGATAGAGACCACGGCCGTGTGCCCCCGACAATTTACTTCTACATTCGTCACGTTGCTCCCTGCCGCCATGCCAAACTGTAACAGCAATTCTGCTACTTGGTCTTCGTCGGATAGCGTGCTGCCTACAAAACCGATTGTTAGCCACGCTCGAATACAAAGTCCACATTGAAATACTACGCACCCGACTTCTTTATCTTGGCAACAAGGTTGTACACGTCCTGCATTTGCATACGGTGTGGCGAATTGGTACGGATGTAATCGTACAAGCGGCTGGATTTGCTGCCGCTGGCAACCATAAGCTCCACATCACGCATAACGGGCGAGCTTGCAGGTAGTTGGCGGACCTTCGGATACGACTGGTATATATCCTCGGATACAGGGTGGTTGTGTCCGTAGAATGCCAGCTTCACTTGGACTCTCCACTCCTTGTCTGCTTTCTTCACCACTTGCGCCACAAACCGTACTTTGCACTCCGTTGCGTTCACGCTATGCGAAGGGCGCACGCCTTTCAAACGCACGCAATTCTTGTGAAATGGTGTCAAAGATGGGACGTACTCGAGCTCCACGTTGCTCTCCATTAGTGTCCTCTTTCGCGATCGCGTACTTGTGCTTGTTCCAGAAGTATCACTCTCTTCTTCATTAAGTGTGTCACCAGCCGCGCCTTCCACATCATCTGATGAACGCAGTGATTCTTCAGATTGCGCAGCATCACCGTGACGTGCTGTTTCCAGATCAGCAACGGTGTATTCGTCAAGCGCGTCCGTGGCTTGAGCTGCTTGTATGCCGTTATTGATAACACTTGAACTTACGCCCACGTCACTCTGCACGGACGAACCAGAGTCCGCCTCGGCGTCGTCGCTGCTGCTGCTGCAGGAAACTGCCATGGCTCGAAGTATACTTGCAGTCTTGCTCGTACGGACCATTGTTCTAGCAGACACCAAGCATATTCACAGCAAACATTGTAAGGTCATGGGATAAACACGGGAAACATGGAGTCCATGTTTTCTTCAATGCATGTACACATACGTGATCGCTTCAGTGTATGCAGCACAACCTGCCCTCGTTGTCCACGTGCTTGCGGCGCGTGTCTTGTTCCGTAACCTCACACGTGTTACTGTTAGATCCACGCAATAATAGTTAGCTTCCATAGCATTCGACGTACACGCATGACACACGAC